TGCCGTCCCCAGCTGCACGTTCCCTACGCCGAGCACTTCAGGCTGGAGCCGCTCCTGCAGTACCACCGCGTCATCAGCTTGGAGGACTTCATGGAGAAGCTGGCGCCGGTTCACTGGCCTCCTGGCAAGCGAGTGGCTTACTGCTTCGAAGCGGCGGCTCAGAGAAGCGCCGACAAAAGCTCTTGTCCCATGAAGGTGAGTTCCTCCCGCATCCCCGCCGGCCCGGGCGCAGGTTAATTCTGCTGCTGTTGCAGAGACTGACTCAGGTCGCCGTTGATTTGCTAACTTAGGAGTTATCCACCCCAAATCTGCCCGTGTGGCATTCCTTTCACCGCTTACCTGCGAGGCTTGCTGCGCCTTCGTGCTTTTCTTTGTCAGCAAATCCTTGGGGTTCGGGAAGATGGTTCGTGTAAGTAGGTTTTATCACTTCAGACTTGATTTTGACCGTAAGGAGAACAGATCTGTAGCTCATCTCCTACTGGCCTCTGCCCGTTTCCCTTCTGTGGTATAGTTGTCCAGCTGGTTTTAAAGCAACCTCTTTTAAATCCAAATCTGAGAGCTGTGGTGTCCTTGCTCTTTTAAGACAGCCTTTGCACGAGTTCTCAGTTAAGTCTCTTTAACGTGTTTCCCTCTTTCTTTAACGTGTTTCCCTCTCTCCTTCCCGTGGAGCTGATCGGTGACAAACAGGCTGTTACGTTCGGTCTGCTTTCTTCCTGTAAGAGAGAGACTCTTCAACTCGGCACCCCAGGATCTTCCGAAGCCTGCCTTTCAGGCTCTGCGTATGCACCGCACGAACACTTGTCTTCCCTTTGCAGGATGGAAATCCATTTGGTCCCTTCTGGGACCAGTTCCAAGTGAATTTTGATAAGTCTGAGCTCTTCAAGGGAATTTCCTTCAGTTCTGCGTACAAGGACCATTGGATCCAAAGGTAGGAAGAAGATGGAAAAGTGCTGGCATGCCACTGTAGGCATTTAGAGCGACTCATGAAAACAGTTGTGCTAGTCACTGTGTAAAGCCTTTGCGTTTTGGGGGAAGAGATCGAAGTGGTTACTTAGCGATATAATTAAAAATCTTAATGCTTTTCCCATTAAATGTTCGCTGAGCACCCTCCTCCTGTGGGCAGTATTAGGTGTGAACTCTGTTAGGCTGATTGATTTCTGAGCCAGTAATATTTAGTTACAGTATTTATTGATTACATATGCAATTATTCTTCAGAGAGAATTTGGTTCTCGGTTGCCGATCGTGAACTGCGTTTTGCTGGTTACCTCCTGTTTTCAGAGCCTCTTTAGTCCTATCAGTAAGTTTGGGTGACAGAGTTGCTCTAGTCTGGGGTGAAAACGTAACCTCTCGTTGCTACGCGTATGAGTTTCTTGCCTTTTGTCTGTCAAATAATGCTGATTCACTTGTTACCAGGCCTGAGGTAAAACGCGGTACCTGAGTTTTGCTTCAGTGTTCTGTTGGCAAAATAGTTAAAACTCATCTTGGGTAAATTTGGAGCAATAGGTGCTGCGTGTTTCAGGGTGTTCATAGTTTCCATTCTACCCTTCACGGTAGTCTCTGAGCAAGGTGATGCATGCAAGGTTGTGTTACGTTTCGGTCTGCTGGGTTTTTTCCGTAGGTTTTCACCATCTGAGCACCCGGTACTCGCCTTACCTGGAGCTCCGGCCCAGTTCCCCGTCTTAGAGGAGCACCGACCCCTCCATAAGTATATCGTGTGGGCTGATGAAATGGTGAAGAAAGGAGAAGCCTATATTCACTCTCTGCTGGTCAGGCCCTACGTAGGAATTCATCTGAGGATCGGCTCAGATTGGGTATGGTTCCTGTGTGAGGCTGGGTGCTATAGACTGGTGGCTGACGCTCTGTGGAAGAAGCTGCCCGAAGAGGAGCTGTGCTTCGGGGGTGGCAGCCCGAACCCCGCTGGCATTCGGTAACTCGCTCCGTGTTCGCAATGCCGTTGGGATTCCTCTTTCAAAGAGGCTGTAACGCTGCTGGCGGAGGTGGGGGACGTGGTAGTGTTTTTCTCACGCTTGCCGTTCAGCCGTGATATTTTCTCTTTCCTTCTTCCAATAGAAAAATGCTTGCAATATGTTAAAGGACGGGACAGCCGGGCCGCACTTCATGGCTTCACCTCAGTGCGTGGGCTACGACCGAAGCGCTGCGGTCCCTCTTACCATGGACATGTGCCTGCCAGACCTCAAAGAGATCAAGCGTGCTCTCAAGCTCTGGGTGAAAAAGACAGAAGCTAAATCTGTTTATATCGCTACTGATTCCGAGCCCTACACGACGGAAATACAGCAGTTCTTCCAAGGAAAGGTAAGTCTTTCCGAAACCCGTTCTGGCAGGAGTGCTTTAATAAAAACCCTCCTTGGATTCTGGCCTGTTGCTGCCACGGACAGCGGGCAGGCAGTTGTGTGACATGTTATTCACAGACAAATATTGACATCTCAAAGTGAATTTTGCTCATAGCGATAAAAATTATACTGTAAAACTCTTGCTTTCCTAGAGGTTGAGGAGCATTATCCTGCATGGTAGTAAATTTCTCCTTGCAAAAGACTTCAATTAAATAAACCTAAGTCATTTTTCAAAATGTTTTGACATTTATCTATTTATAAATGAGTTATAGGGCAACTTAGAATCATAGAATCATTGAGGTTGGAAAAGACCTCTAAGATCATCGAGTCCAACCGTCAACCCAACACAGAACCCACGATTCAGAAGAAGACAGAACCCACTCTCTTTCTGTCGTATATTCCCATTTCTAATATTATGCCGAGGCATTTGGGTTGTAATAATAGATGACTGGATTCACTTGCTTTCCTTGTTTCCCTGCAGATCAAGGTGGTTAGCCTGCAGCCAGAAGTGCCTCAGATTGATTTGTATGTTCTTGGCCAGTCCGATCACTTTATCGGGAACTGTGTCTCTTCGTTTACCGCCTTTGTGAAAAGAGAGCGCGACGTGCATGGAAAACCCTCTTCGTTTTTTGGCATGGACCACCCGCCAAGATTACGGGATGAATTCTGACCAAAAGAGGAACAGGCTCCGTAGTTCTCAGGGCTCTGAGCTTGGTACCTTGCCGAGGGACCACTCGGTGCTAACGGCGTTCTCCTGCCTGCGGAGCACACTGCCAGGCTGCCGCAGACCCGCTTCAGCCCTGCGGTACTCCTCACAGTCGCTTCTAGACTGTTCTGTCTGACTTCTGCATTTCCGGTGTGAGGTCAGACAGAAAAGAAATTTTAAATCGTGTAGTTTATAGGAAACTATAAACTATATATAGTTTTTAAGATTTTAAGGTGTAGTTTCTATAGCTCTCCGTTCTCACTATTTGGGGTTCGCCAGCAATCGTGATGAAGCAGCTCCTCAGATTTCCTCTTCTCCATTTTTTTTTTTTCCCGTTTAAGTTTAAATTTTACCTGGAGATGTTGTGAAGCTTCTTGTCCAAAACTGACCGTAAGTTCTTATCTTTTTAAGTGCAAAGTATTGTCGGGAGCGTCACGGTCCCTGGAAAGGGAGTGCAAGGTAAAACTCAGGACTGGAAATCAGCTCTGGGTTTTACCGGGTACCGCTGTTGCCTTACTAGACTCGTGTCACCTCAGTGCCTCCGTTTCCATTCCCCTGTCAAAAGAGATTTCATACCCGCTCCGCAGCGGTGCTGGGGGGCGCCTGGATCTCTTCAGCGGTGCTAGAGCAGCGCAGCGGGGACATGTTTTAATGTGGCAGCTGCCTGTTCTGCCCGTCTCTGTGTGGAACTGGGGAGAAGGCGTTTGCAGGGACACAGAGGAGAGACCTTTCATAGCCAGTCGAGAGTTGGAGACGTAGGGCTTGTAGCTTTGTAGCTGTCGATGTCAGGTGGAGGTCTGCGGTAGCAACGAAACTGGTTTTGAGCTAAGACTTTTAAAGTAGCCGTAGTGGGGTTGGTGTACGTCGTACCTAGGTCTGTGTTAATGGCTCCTGTTTTCTTGTTTGTTTTTGTACTTTGTCGAAGAACCCCTCTGACAGCAGAACCCTTGTCTGGGGGGGTAGTTCCCGGTGGAGGTAACGGTGGAAAGTGCTCGCTGACGGTGAAACGGCAGCCCCAAACCCCTTCGTTTGGCCCAGCGCAGTTTAGTGCTGGGAACACCGATAATCCCGACGTGGTGAGACTCAACTTGACCAACGCCTTTTGGTACTCCTGCGACTTTACTCAGTCTCTGGACAAAGAGAGAAAATTGCAGAACTTACTATTTGTTTTTTAAAAATGCCACTTGGGGGAAGCCGTGGTACCGGCTCCGGCTGCCTCTAGCGCACTACTATGGTCCAAATGATGCTGAGCGTTTACTGGGGTTTAGCTCTAAATGTCTTTTTGGTGCTGGGTCTTTTTTTCCCTCCTTGGAAACGTTCCTGAGCTTTGACGGGGTTTGAAGGCTCAAGGGAGCGAGCAAAAGAGGGCTGAACGAGGAGGTGCCCCAAGGGCCGGGGCGGCAAAGGCTCGTCTCTTGTTTCCTCAGTGCTGGCTTCCAGAAATCCGTGGGCTTGGGTGGTTCGAGGGCCTCCGGCCGCGCCCCGGCGCGGGCCCAGGGGAGCTGGGTGCCTGGATTTCACCCCACTATCCTGGATGATGCCGTCAGGGCCGCCTTGCCCCGCCGCGGGGCGAGGGGCGCCCTTCCTC